TTTGTAGAGGTGGCACAGAAGAACACAAAAGTGGCTTGATGTACTTTCAGACATTTAATGAGGCTCAAAGGTGGCATGAGAGCAATTAAATCCATAAATTCATGATGAGATTAATGTTTTAAATATAAAATTTTGAATATAGAAATATTAAATGATTTAAATACCTGAAAATATACTTAAAAAATTAAACTTAAATTGCCAGCAGGTGGCGGCAAGTCACTGATTTTATCACTGAATCATTCATTCAATTGATTCATTCGAACGGCTGATTCATTCAGGAACGAATCAAGTGACTGTCTTTATGAATGGGTAATCATGAATCACTGACTCACTAGATTCGGTCCTAACCTCTCTCAATGCAGGATTGGTCAGTTAGGCAAACCAGTCAGATCAACCGTCAAGACGAGATAGTTAGCCTTCTAACTATGGCTTCGAATGGGAGACCACTTGCTGAACTGTTGCGGGATGTAGCTGACACGCAAGACCTGTTTGATGCGCGTGATCGCGCTTTGTTTCTCTATGGTCTAACGTTACACAAGCCCGTAAAATCACTGTCAAAAATAATCGTACGTAATTCAAAGCATTTGTGTGTCATTTTAATTTACTCATGCGTAATTTAAAAGTATTGTATGTAATTCTGTTTTTTGTCAGAGTTGGATTCCAAAATCTACGGCCACGATAGTTTACAGATACGAGATTTTGTGTGTTTGTTAGTACAACTCCAAAATGTACGACTATGACAGTTTACAGACACAACGCTTGTTTTCACAACAGCTCTGTTACACGCACAACATGCGAATTGCGACCACGAACTAATTCTTTAAACACCTAAATGTACACTAAGAGCTAATCTTACCTACTATAGTTAAACTATCTCTGTAATATTACTCCTCTCTGTCATTAGTGATAACTAACTCTTAAACATGTCCGAATTTGAAAAAGAAAAAAAAAATCACTTACCTGAGACGATGAGTGAGCGCTTGGCTGCTGATCCGCCATTTTGGCGCCAGTGGTTTAAAACGGTGGCGGGGCACATGCGCACTTCGTGGAATCGATTCATCTTCCCTCGGATAGTAATGTCTGTGACCATGATGACGTATTTTTGACAGTGGTTTCACACACCGCACTTCGTGGTCGCAATTCGCATGTCGTGCGCGTAACAGAGCTGTTGTGAAAACAAGCGTTGTGTCATGGAGTGTGTCATATATATATATATTTAGGCTACATGTTTTTCATGAATGTATTTGACAACAATACAAAGAGCAATGTGTAACATTTTACCAGATTTAGTCCTACACTTATTAACTTTTATTTGTTTCCCACTAAATGTTGTTTCACTAAATGTTTAGTTTAATGATTTTATAAAATTATTGTGCACCCATGAGTTTTCTAGAATAACTTTTGCTGCTGAATTATCCACTAACCTAGTTTATAATAGTATTTTTTCTCATAGATTATAATTATATTTTTCATTTGTTATTTTTCAGTAAAATAAAGTTGTCTATATTTAGCAGATTGTGTTTAACACACACAAGAGTGATGATCACATCAACACACAGAAGTATATAAATTCTACATGATTTAAAAAAAAAAAAAAGTGCTCTGATCGGAATTGGCCAATACTTTTGGGATCGGATCGGTTCTGAAAAAATGATATTGTTGCATCCCTAGTAGCTGATGATACATTGAGGATATTGATGGCTCTACTTGCAGGCTACTTTTCAGTGAAGGTTCCCACTGAAGTCCATTGAATTACTATCACAAACCAGAGACATATACAGGTGCATCTCAATAAATTAGAATGTCGTGGAAAAGTTCGTAACTGCTTGTCATGTGCCGTAATCTCTCTTCGTTGGCTGGGTGACTGCTGAAGTTCATGCTAAAGCTGTAACAATGCCGTCAGAGTTCTGAATCATGTAGATTGTGGGTTGTTTGGTAGCGAGGGTGGAGTTGAAGGATGTTTATGTGGTTAAGGGAACTTGGGAAGAGCAGGAAGTGACAAAGTTAACCGTATTAAGTCTTGAAAATGTATAATGTCAAATAGAACTTTCTCTCTTCTTTTCCTGTCTCAACATTCTTAAAATTTGAACTTGGATATAAAATCTTGTTAAAAAAAAAGCTAAAAAACCTTACCTGGCTCTGTGTGTGTAATATATCTCTCCAATGTCTTGAGTTAAAAGCATGCAAGTTTCTCTGCTGGAAATAAGCACTTGCTGGTGGACACCAGCCATCCCACAGATCTGCACTGAAAAGGAATTGGATTTGAAAATGGCTGTAAACGTTTTATTATGGAGAGGAAATGCTGTACTTCTGTGCGTGTAACAAAATTGATGTGCTCACAAGCGCTGCTGTCACAGTCTAGCATCCCCTGTCCTCCCCCATGGCCAATGAGAGTTGCTTCACTCCGCTGCCCTTACAAATAGACCCCATTGATTGAATCTGATTCCTGCGGATAGAGCAGGATTATTGACAGCCTTCCCTGATGTCTCACACCCAGAGTGTGTGTGGAAATGTTCTCTCTGTGTCAGCTTTTGTTGCTTAAATCAGAGGGACGGTTCCCCTGAGCCTCCCCCCGTCTGATGACACACAGCTCTCTGGAAACGCTGCACTTCCTTTATTTCCTTCCTCCCTCTCTCGCCTAGGAATAATCTCTACATTTTTACAAACATCCTGAGAATGCCTCTAGCTCAGGAGGAAGAAGCAAAGAAAGAGGGTGTTGTTAAAATGAAAGAAGAAAAAAAAATTTAGCCTGACCTCAAAACAGAAATGTCCAGTCTATACGGTGACTCTGAGGAGCAGCGTCGTCGGCCCTCAAAGGAAGTCTGTCCTCATTAAATACCCTGCAGAATAAGCCAGAAACAAAGTCTTCGTTTGTGGGGCGAGAGAAAATCGACTCCATCTGCTTTCATGGCCAGCACTGAGATGTTGTTATTTGGATTTAGAGCTGTGCCAACCACACAAAGTCCTGCTCAGCAGAAATGAGTGTGATAGTTTATGGTGTTTTGGGGATTTTTAGAGTCGTTTATCCTCTGCCTCACCCCTCTTACAGGAATCAATAGGCCCGACTGCCCCAGACCTGGATTTCCTTTCTTGCACTGACCCTCTGTTTGAATCTGCTCTAATACAAGGAGTTGATGCTTTTGTTTTTGCTATTATGGATAATGGTTTTGTTTTTTCCATTATAATGGTTTATATAACGATGGATGTGGTGATTACGTTCTCTTTGGCATTTCCTTTTCTTACTTTTTCTGTTTCTAATCAAATTTAGCAACTAAAAATAAAGCTTAACTCCATCTAAAAAGTAACTTTTGTAAAGCTCTCAGATATGAATCAGTTCACTGTCACGTTGTACTTAGTGCATATGACTTTCTTTTAATCTCTTTTCTTTTCTGTGTATATATGTATATGTGTGTGTTTGTGTGTGTGTTTTTATGTACATGAAATATTAGTTTTGATTTCATGGTGACCTTTAGTAGGTGTTTTTTGAGCTTTTTGGGGCTTGACAGCCCCCGTTTACATCAAATGGAAAAGAGTAGAAATGGGAAAGAATATCTCCTATTATCTTACGTTTTATGTGTCAAGTCAGTCATACGATTCTAAAGTGACGAGGGTAAGTGAATGACACATTTCCACCTTCACAGACTATTTCGTGAATCACTCACCTTTTTTGGAGCTTAACATATCAAAGTGGCCAGTGAAATGATTGAGCAGGAAACCCTTGAGCAGATCTTTGCCCTTGTCAAGTGGTCAACTCCTTGTCACTTCAGACAGTATTAGAGCGGCTATGCCAAAACTGAGATCGGCTGGCCAGAATAAGAGCGAATATACATCATTTGAAAGGCAGAGGAAGGATGTTCTGCTCGGTCATTGGAAACTTTGTTCAGTTTCACTGTGTATCGGGGGGGCTGGCAAGTTGGTCTCAGAAAGTTCGCAAGACTTATTCCGGATGAAACCTGTGAAGGACACCACTGAAGACTGTTTTTCACCGGTCGGGCTTGGAAGAAGTTAAGTGGACAAATGAAGAGTGTTTTCGTCTCTCCACACTGCATTCGATTAGCCTGAGCCCGTTTTCTTTTGTTCTGTCTTCAAATGAGTGGTGTTATTGTAACAAGCTCATAGATGAATCTTCATTGGCTCTCCACAAGCTCCTCGGATGTGAAGGGTTCAAACAAAAGCTTAGCTTTCTAGAAAATAATGTTTTTGTGTCTGTATTGAATTACTAAAGTGCTCAGGAATGGGTGAGTCATTCATGCGGAGGCATCCGTAGCTTCAGTGTAGTTTTTATTTTTTTAGTTTTTCTGATTGAGGAAATCACTCAAGGTTTCTCTCAGCTTTGACACGTGGATGTGTAGAGTTGTACTAATCTAGAACTGTTATTTCTGCAGTCAAAGTCCCTTAAGGGCAAACTCTCACAATACCACTCAAATATGGTGTCTGTCAAAGTAGTTTGTCCTTTGATGTGTGCTCTCCTAAGAAAACTCTGAAAACACCATGAAAAGTTAAAGGTGTCCCAGCCCCTCCAGTGTGTCTGTTGCTTGATGTGTAAATCTGAATTGAGCTGGTTTCTACTCCCTCTATCTTTCTCCCCTCTCCTCCTCTCTGAAGTTGGAAATACAAGTCTCTTTGCATTTTTTTTTTTTTGCGTTTTAGGTGCTCTGCGTTAAGAGATCTCATGTTTGGGTTACTCTTTCTTAGTAATTGAAAGTGTGCATCTTTCTCTGTGTCTCTCTGGGTCTAGAAGCACTAGACTTCTAGTTCCTGCTAAGAGTAAATATTTATTCATATGTTCTACTCCAGCACTTTGTGTGTATTTATTACTTTAAAATAAGATATTATCTTTTATCTAGTTTTATTAGATTTTTATGAATCTTATACTTTTTTTTTTTTTTTTTTACTATTTATTGAAACCAGATTGTCCCCCTTTTCTGCATGAATACTGATTGGTGATTGGTTGTGTGATTAATGGGATTCCCCTTTGATTGGTCTTTTTCTTTCTGTAGGCGGAAGGAGAAGATAATCTAAAGAAGATGCAGCTTATGGAGCTGGCCATTCTAAATGGAACATACAGAGACACCAACATCAAAACACGTAAGGAGACACATTCAGACACACTCCAGAATAAATAGACTTGAACATCAGCACACCCACAAGACAGTCATAAAGCTAACTATTAGGGAATAATGTGAATTCAGCTGTGATTGTGTTGCACAGTGTCTAAAGAGATTTGTTTAAATGCTTACACACACAAAATCACACCCGTATTTGTTAGGGCACAGGGCTTACACACACAATATCAAATCACAACCAGCCATAATCCATCTCCTGTATCCATCCCTAATCCACATGTAAATGCACACATGTACACATACAGCAACATATATATATATATATATATATATAGGTTGTTTTCTGTGCTGACTTATTCTGACCATAAATGAGCAATTAAATAAAAAACACTGCGCACATGAGAGTTCATCAGACATAAGATTCTCGTTTTAATTCAAGAAAGAATCCTGTTCGCTGCACACTCCTCATGAAAACATCTAATCATCTGCCCACAGTCTAGTATTTCTGTCTCTCTTTATCCCTCCCTCTGTCTCTCGCTCTCTCTTTTTCTCTGTCTCCCTTTTTCTCTCCCACCTCCTTTCAAAGCTGTTCCAATTGCAATCACAGCTTGCGTAATCATGGTGTGGCATACAGAATAATTTTGCTGCATGATTGTGTGTTTTAAGTTGTCTTTAGGTCATAAACTTGTATTATTGCTCAAAGATATTTGCATACGATTCCACCCATGTCATACATATTCATTACTGCAATGCATTTCCACATTGACAAAGGGTTTTGGGCTTTTACTGCTCTGTAAAGTAATATTTGCATGACTGTATATATGATTGTATGGATTTATGAATGTGAGCATGCATATTTGGGTATATATAACAGGGACAGAAACACATCTGTTTGCCTTCAGTGCAGAATGTTTATAAGCGTTTTAATTTTCAGCATTGTTGTGGTTATTTCCTCTCCACATCTGCACTAAATGTCCCAATGGCATGTGGAGGTTTTGATTCATGTGGGAAAGCTTATGGCAAGTTTGTGGAATCAATTCTAGAAAGTGCACTTCAGAGTTACAACTATAAGAAATTACATCAGCATTTTTTAGCACACAAACTGAAGTGCTCTTTCCTCTACAATGCCGCAGGACATTGGGTTTAGATGTGCTGCTTTAAATCAGTGACTCTGTGTTGTGTATTAGTGCCTGTTTTGATGATCGGTTTGCCCCCCAGTATGATCAATCATCAGTTCCTCCTTGTGTTTTAGTTTTGATTAATTTTTGTAATGATTTTGGTTGTGGGGTTTTAGTTTGCTTTAGAGTGTAATTTTTTTGTGGTTCATTGACCATTGCATGGACTAATTTTCCTTTATTTTTTCACCCACCCCCTTTTTCTCTCTTTTTGTGTACTTCTGTTTTCCTTTCCCTGCCTGTGCTTTTCACACATCTGTTTTTGTGCCTTCTGTCCATTTCTGTTTTTCCCCCTTCTGCTCTGAAAACTTTATACACATTCACACACCCAACCTCCCCTATCGCTCTATCTCTCCCATTACTTCTCTCTTGGTGTCTCTTGTTCTCTCCCTTTTGCTCTTTCTGTCTTTCACTCTTCTGTTTATGGCAGCCACCCTTGCGTTCTCTCTTGCAGCAGCGGCAGCTGCTGCTCAAGGCCCGCGTCTGATCGCGGCCCCTGCGGGTCAGGTCCTCCCCCCGTCCGCCCTCAGGCCCCCCACTCCGGCAGGGACCCCCATCATGAACATCATTCGGCCCACTCAGATGGCCACTGTGCTACCCAACGGCACCCCTACCCTGGTACCCCCGACGCCCGACGCGGGCATTATCTACACCACGCCCTATGACTACCCTTATGCCTTGGCGCCCACGTCTCTGCTGGAATATCCTATCGAGCACAGCGGAGTCCTAGGTAAGCGGGCGTGGGGGCTTGGCACTTCACCCTTCGGTGCCCCGCAAGAGGGTATTGCCGGGTTGTTTTACGGGGGCATGTTGGATGGGTCGTCACCCGGCCCAGTTCAGGACTCACTGAAAGGTAAATATGTAATGACTAGCTCATGCTAGCATGCTGGGTAACCCAGGTGATTAAAGACTTAGCTACATAGACACAAAAAAATTGTTTGCCACTGAGACGGGCTGGGAAAGGGACCACTTATCTGTGTCTTAAACGAGGTATATTCATCTGTCTAAAATGTTTTTTTTTTTTTTTGTCTGCTGCGTAAGAAGTCTTTTCTCAGGACACACGCACACACTCACTCTCGCAGACAGTGGCGACATGCTTGCTTGCACACATCTTTTTTTTTTTCATCTCTCTCTCTCTGTCTCTTGCTGGAGGCTTTGTCAGGCAGGCTACTGGTGGATCCCCTCGGATTTCTCCTGGCTTTTGAAATCATTTCTCTCTTCCCTGCTGTAGCAGGCCTTGGTACCAGTGCTGAGCGGCAGAGAGAGAGAAAGAGTATAGAGTCCCATTGGGGATGTTCATTAAATTCTTCCACTATTCAAACTGTATCCAGTTGTTTTATTTTACCCTTGTGAACTTGAGCGCTCGACCCTATTCAGAGAGAATTACCCATACTCCCCTGCCTAGTGAGGGGCTTCTGCAAAGACTTGCAAAGAAGATAGATAATAACCACAACATCACAACCTCTTTTATAGACTTGACGCTTTGCATCAAAGCAATGTAAACATTAGGAATCAGACATTTTAAATAGAGATGGCGATCAATAGCATGATGAAGTCATGTGTGTCAGAAGCCGAATGTTGTGCTTGAATAGCTTTGGTTAGTGCTTGTCTTTGATTCGATGGAGGGATTTCTGAGTTTAGTTCACTGGATGCTGTATAGTTGGCACGTTTGGGTCTTCCACTGTTCTGACAGTGCCGCGTTTCCACTTTTAAACTTTAACACTCGCAAGCTTAGCAGCCTTTTATTTACTTACAGTATCGATCCAACATCAAACCACCCCCAGACCAGACCATGTTCTCTCTCACTCTCTCCCTTTCGCTCGCTCGCTGAACTTCTGTGCAATCAGAAGTGATTTGTTGGACATCTGCTGTTGCAGCATAGCATGTGGGCGTATATACACACACACCGTAAGAGGGAACCGTTAACACTTCCAGAATTTCTCCAGAGGAGAGTAAAAACATTCGTGCTTAGCAACTATTCTGTGTAGGGATCCGCCTTTTTTGCCTTTTTTTCCGATACCTAGGGTTAGGTATTGGCCGATACCAATTCCGATCCGATACCAGTGAAGTTTTTTTCCCTCATTTAAATAAATGTAGAATTTATATATCTCTGTGTGTGGAACTGATAATCATTCTTTCTACTAGATACAGACTACTTCATTATAAAGAAATATAAAATAAACAAATATGAAAAAATATAGGCCTATGTATATTTATAATCTATGACAAAAATTTATCATAAACTAGGTTAGTGGATAATTCGGCAGCAAAAGTTATTCTAGAAAAATCAGTGCACAATAATTTTAGAAATCCAAACATTTAGTGAAAAAACAATATTTTGTGGGGAACAAATAAAAGTGTTGCACTAAATATGGTCAAATGTTACACATTGCTATTTGTATTATTATAAAATCCATTCATTAAAAACATTCATGAATGTATTTATATATAAATATATACTATAAAATTAAAATACATTTATTTTAAATGTATAGCATATTTTTTAATAAGGCAACAACATATGATAGATACGATAGGACAAAAGAAATATAGTGCAGCATGAACTGTTTTTATACAGTCAACCCTCAACTGACACCTTGGCAATTGAATCGCCATTGGCTAGTATATTTTTTTGTTTACTCGCCCGACTGAAATTCTATACTATATATATATATAAGTTATGCCATTTTACAAACATATATAATGTTTGTAAAATGGTACAGCTTTTTAAATATCTGAAAGTACACTCTTAATATCAGTGAGTCAAGCATTATAATATGATAATCAAGTATTATAATGCTTGACTGCTTGACTGACTGATATTAAGAGTGTACTTTCAGATATTTAAAAAGCTGTACCATTTTACAAACATTATATATGTTTGTAAAATGGCACAAAACAAATACAGTGCAGCATGAACTGTTTTTATACAGTCTATGAGCACGAAGCGCTTACAATGTGTGCACATTGTAAGCGCTTCGTGTTAAAAACTGCAAAGCACAAAGGGAAGAGAAATTGATGCGTAGTGTATTATATCTGTGCAACAGTTATTGAGCCTTTCTTTTAACAGTTTAAAATTTCAGTTACTGTGCACGTTAAATACATTTATAGTCTTTTCTACACCCGTGTTTTGTTCTCACAGACATCCGGTAGCAAGTAACAAAACATTAAACTCCGGCAAGAAGATAAAGTCCTTTTTGCAAAATCATAGACATGTATTTACAAATCAAGTATAATGGGAACATAGAATTATCTTGGAGAGAGCTTTAACGAGCTGACTGATGTAACCGAAAGCCACCAGGGTTTAAACTTTAAAGGCTGAACGAATGACTGACAGCCACAGCGGAGAAAAGAGTTTGTGTGAACTTTAATGTAAGGACTTAAATATTCATATGTAGCTCACATTAAGCTATCGTATGGCTTCAGAAGTAACACACAATAATTCGCACAATCGAGAAAAAAACAAACAAAAAAAATCTCGGATTTGGATCGGCTCTCTCTGACCGATACCCGATCCGAGAAAAATGGCACTATCGGAGCCGATACCCGATATGAATATCGGATCGGCGCATCCCTAATTCTGTGATGTCATTATGTGATTTGGTACAGTCGTCACACCTTGGTAGGCCCACATGGAGCTCTGCAGAGTCATGCAGAATTGGAATGCCTGTCATTCTCAAGGTGTAAAACAGCCCCAACTTCTCAGGTGTTTGTTAAATAATTTGGTTCTGCTACCAGAAACAAATTTCTGTTGTGTTTATCTGATATTGCACATTTGTGCTTAAATCGATTACACAGATATTCCCCTTCCCAAAAAATGTGCCGCATCTACAAATTGTTATCTGGACTTGCTCATAAAAATGTTCAATATTTAAAATCACTTTTTTTTTTTTTAATGTTAGTTAATATTTTGTATCTGTTTTCATACTGTATTTTGTATAGTTTGAAATCTTTGGTTGATTGGGAGACTGAAATATGGCTTCCTTCACCAATCCGTCTCAAGGTCTGTGCATGCCAAGAGCGAAACAAAACATAACTGTGGCAATTCACATGCTTTAATGTTACATCAGTTTTGTTTATACAAAATTCTCTTACTTTAATGCAAAATGCAACCCTTCATATTTCTTTCACTTTAAAGCAAAATAACCTGCAAAACTCCACACCAAATTCACTTATCAGTGAAATTTGTTTTATCAGTTGGGTTGCATTGTAAACCTGATAATAATAATAATACAACTGATAATGAAAATTTTATTCAAATGAATTCTTTGACATAGGAGTATAGCACTGTATAATAATAAACAAGGTGTACTGTGAGTACATCTTGTCTGTTTACCAGTATTTATGTTACTTAACAGTGTTTATATTATGTTCTTTTTAGTCTGAGACCAACAGTATTAACAGCTGCCAGCTCCACATCTATCTGGAATTCCAATACAGGCACATAAATAACAACATATATATATTATTAGTTTGATTATAGAGAGCAATCAACATATGGAGCAAAAGAAAGAAAAAAAAAAACGATTCATTCATGTGTTTTCACTTTTTTACAATTTCGCTCTTGGTGTTGAATGGGCCTTCGCTATTGAACCAATTACTAGTCCGCTATCAAGAGTTATTTCAAATCTATTTGTTCTGTGCGTTATCTTTGACCTTTGAAGGAGATAATGTAAATTAATTTAATTTTATCATCAATGTGCTTAGAATTTGCAGTCTATTCTAGTTTTTTTTTTTTTTCTTATTTCACTTATGAATTCTTGTGAGCAGAGGAGAGAACGTTTGTAATTTTGCTGATTTGCTGAAATGCAGCTAGCACGAGCCAGGTGCTGTCATACAGTAATCACAGGGTGTCAAAACTTGATTACCATTTGCTATCAAATGATGCTGCTTCCACTGTAGTAATTTTTTTCCTAAAACACACCTTTGTTTTGTGTATGTATGCGTGTTTTTTGTTTTTTTTCAAACACAATTCCTTGCCAGCCCGTCTCAAACAGTCTTAGAATCTTGTAAGTCAAAGCAATTACTGTGTTATTTTAAGTTGTAAGTTATACATTTATAATATTCATTTTTTTTAATGCATTTATTACTCTTGTTTTTATGAATTTCTACCCAATGTGTTGATATTGTGAATGTATTATATGTAGAAACATGCATAAATTTGAATATAGATGAGATTTCATGTAAAGCCTGTTTCACAGCTATCCAGTTCAAATTGAGATTCATATTGAATGGATCTTTTAAATAAAAGGTCAAAATCAGATGTGTTCTATATTTCTCTGGTTTCTAGAGTTCTGCTGCAGCGTTCTGTGGTCTAGCTGTGGCCCACAGGCTTTACATGTATGTTTTGTTTCCTGGGCTGAACCATGTCTAACCTTATGGACCTGTTGTAATCTAGGTGCAATGGCTACTAAAGTGCGGAGACATGATTCACGGGTCCATCCTTACCAAAGGATAGTGACCACAGACAGAGGTTAGTTAGATGAGATACTTCTACCTTTTTTGAAATTCTTTTGTTTCTTTATCTCTGAACGGAGGATCATACATGTTTATACACAGCATATCTTTACTGTGGAAATGTGTTTACATATGAAATGCCTCTGGAAACACTCAGGTTTGCGGAAGTTTATGACTGTAACTGAATTAAATGCCATTTGTTTCATAGCTTTATATATCAGTGCATTTCTTAACTACGTCTAGATTCCAAAAAAAATTGATTGTATTTTTGTTGTTGTTTTTTTTTATGTTTTATTTTTTTATTTAAATCGTTTTTAAAATACAAAGGGACTGGAATAAGCTTCCATTGCCAGCATTGCCAGCCATTGGCTAAGCCAGTGGTTCTCAACCTTTTTTTCCACTGGGCCGCACTATGGTCCAAGTGCAAGTCTCACAGGCCGCACGCATAACATCACAATGAAGTTGCCATTGTAAGTTGCAGTCTGTAAGATGCGCACGGAAACGTGACTTGACGCGCGACATTGCAGAAAATGTGCGTTCACAAATGTAGCCTATGTTGATAATATGGAAAGCACTTTCGAATTTAATAATCTGAGGTTCTCTCCAGAGATGTTTTGCCCTGCATTTCAGCCCGGGCCCGACGGGCCCCGACTTTTTTACGGTCCTCGGGCCGGGCTTCGGGACAATTTTCACGTCATAGTTCAGACGTGGGCCCGGCATCGGGCTTGTTTTAGGCTTCTCCTATTTTTATATTTTAGACATCCATCAATTAGTGATAAAAAAAAAAAAATGTTGCCGCGCTGGTGCAAAAACAACACGAGACCGTGCTGCCGCGACTGTCAAGAGCGGCTCGACGGTGTTTAGTGTCCAGCAGCAGTGAGCGTGCCGTCAGCGCAGCTGAACAGTTCTGCGTTCAAATGCACACAATAGGCTAAAGCTTGCCGCAAAGCAAAGGGGCGAAATAGTAAGGAGATATTTGAATTATTTACTAATAAACTAGTGTTTTCTGAGTCGGTGTCGCAAGGATTAAATTTTTATATTTTTTAGAATAGATTTTATTTTAGGCAAGTCATGATGATTTGAGAAGGCTAAATTTAGCTATGATCAGCTCACTGTCTGCCGCTGGCCGCTTGGTCGTTACTTTAAAAAAACAAAAAACTTATATTTAACGACCAAAAAATGCTCCAAACGTTTTTCTAAATTAACTTAATAAAAAAAAAAAACGAAATATAATCACTTTGCCATTACATACAAAACTGAACTATTTTAATATAGCTGAAACGGTAGTATAAGTTGTTTTGGGAGAAGGGGGAAAAAAAGACGGGCTCGGGCCGGTAATTCTGATAAGATGTCAGACAAGGGCCGGGCTAGGGCCTGAACGTCATATATTTGAGGCCCGTGCAGGGCTCTAGCCTGAACATCTTCAAGTGAGTGGCGGGGCAAACCAAAAGTTGATGCTGAAAGTCCAGCACTCTCCTACCTTCACTGCTGCGACTACTCTTGTTTGTATGCGTTCCTTCGCTGGCGTTTTTCTCCCTTAATAACAAATGTGTCCATTCTGATGCTCAATTTTACCGAACTAATGGCTGCTGATGACTATTTGAATTGAATTCTGCCAAAATGCGCGCTTGTAATTGTTCGTTAAATGCGTAACGTTAATTATGTGAGTACAGGTCTGCTCATGTCTGAAAATAATATATGAAAAACAAAATTATTTTACATAAAAACATTCTAGCTTATATTTGTTTAGTACATTTTAAAATTAATGTAAAAACTAAAATTAATTGTAAAACTGAAAGTAATTTTTTAAAATTGTGTTCAGCATGGTGGGCCGCATTTGAATTCGTGACGGGCCGCGGGTTGAGAATCACTGGGCTAAACCATGGAATTGCAGATGTTTTCCTTATTTTACTCCCACCAGATGGCACTAATCTGGCTTAAAAAATGGGATTTTAAAGGTCCCATGACATGCTGCTTTTTGGATGCTTTTATATAGGCCTAAGTGGTCCCTAGTACTGTATCTGAAGTCTCTTTCCCGAGATGGATAGCCTAAATGTCCTAATTCATGTTTGTTTGTTTTTTAATGGTATGTCAAAAAGTGTATATTTTTTAAATGTGATTGTTGGTACATTTTACCAGTTTTTACCATACTTTCAAAACAAAAATTAAAATAGGAAAAATATGCAATATGAAAATAATTGAAGACAAAATGTGTTTTACTGAGAAAAAACAAGATTTGGTTTTTAAAAAGCCTTTTTCCAAAAGGTACATCTGGAAAAAAGGGGGTCGTCTTATAATCAGGGTCGTCTTATATTCGGGCCAATATGGTATATATATTAAATATCTCCGGTTAAGCTCATCGGATTTTGTTTGTTCAACTCTTTAAATGTAAAAATTTACTTTACACCCAGTTATATTTTAGTTTTACTGAAGGTACTATTTTTTATAGCAGGTGTATTTTTGAATCCTGTGTATACGTTCATTAAAAAATAAAGAAAAAATCCAAAGCGATATTTCGCAACCTTTATCTGTTTATTTGCGTAACGTAGCACTAGCTCTCTGATTCCCCCTCACAACTAATTACACTGTTCGTAACACGCATTTCGACTCAAGACACTAAAATGTTACTAGTTTTTGTTTGTATGTTTTTCTCGTTTGTCTATGTGATACCTCTCTGCTTTTGTTTGTGGGAACATGGGGCATTGTAGCGCTTTAATTACATGTAATAACGTTCTGATTGAACTGATCATGACGTTAGAGTCATGATCATAACCAGGTTTAGCCTGTGTTTGTCTCTTGGCCGTGGAATTAAGGGGTTAAACAAAGATTGCATTCATTTTGCTGTTAAAATGATGTAATTCCGGTCTCTTCTTGCTAATTAATATCTTTTCTACCTTTTTTTTTTTTTTTTTTCCTTTTTGTTTTCGTTTTTGTTCCTAACCACCAAGCCGCCACCGGCAACTAACAAATGACCTCTGAACTCTTCACCCAATGATGAGCCGCCCAAGCCTGCCTGCTGATCAGATTAACTGGTAATTGCCTTTTGCTAGCCTGGTGGACGCAGAGAGAGAGGCACCTGTCCGAGCAGTGATCCTAACATAAACCAACATAAAACACAACAACCCTCCATACCAACACTTTGTGTAGCGATAACAACGATGATACTCTATTATTTTGTTTTTGTTTTTACTGTTATTTCTTTCTTTTTCTTTTAAAATCTCAAATGACTGGGTGGATGTTAACAGTGATATTGTGTTACCCGAAAATCTGCACTAAAGTTTAAAAGCAATAAAGAAGCATCTTCTGCTAATTCAGCCCTTAAATGAATTTATACTCAAAGCTCCAATATAAAAAAAAAATGAGAAAAAAGAAAAAAAATACAACTTGGTGACCCTAGTTTTATCAGTCGTAACGCTAAACGGGGCATCCAAATAATCTCTATACGCTACCCCACCCATTTAAACTGTCACCATGAATAATCAGCAAAAGAAAAAGAAGGAAAGAAATCTGCACTCACACCAACTTGTGTATTTCCTGTCCTTCTCTGATGTAATCCTGTGTTTTTCAGTTGAGTTTTACTGTGCTGACACATTCTGGGTGTGCCTGTCCAATTGACTTAGAGCATGGCTACAATGACAGACTGCAAAAAGCTTGTTTTGATTTCTTTGTTCCGTTACTTCTCCCTATTTTGTTTCTTATGTTTCCATGTATCTTATTAGCATTTGGCAATGCTTGCAGGTTTATACGTGCTGCTCATTGCAGCATATGTGCCAGCTCAGTGGGGGGGCAGTAGGCAGAGTCAGGCAGGGCAAGAGTTGTTTTAGGTGAAGTGTTTTTGGAGTCTTCAAATCTAGAATATTCAGGGTTGGACAGCTGGGATATGAACCGGAATCAGTTTACTGAACTATGCCATCCCAAAAACTCTCAACACGTCCCCACATACAGTGCCTGAACTTTCTAAAAATCTTTCTTTGAATGAGCTGTGAGATATATATATATATATATATATAAACATTTGTAGAATAGTACAGCAAAAGGTGGTAAAGAAAGGTTGCGTGACTTTGGATACTATTGGCCAGCGGGGAAAAAAACAGACCAAAATAGTCAAACCTATTGGAGGAACTGCATGACGTGAGAAGAGAAGAGTACAGTTAGAGAGATAAGTGCCTTACTGACGGTCGTTTCTTTTCCGAGTGTTACATTCTGTTCAATAATATCCAGCACCAACAAGGATAGCGCAGAGTGAGGGAGGACTGGTGAAGAGGAAGCACCCCAAGAGTTAAACCACGAGGCTGTTGCAGTGTTGTGCCACTGAATCTATTCTATGCAAAGGAATAGCAGTCATTTGACCAGCTAACTATGTGCCATGATTAGTCTTCCCAAAATTAAGTTGAAGTCTTGTTTTGTTGTTTTTTTCCTTTTATCCCCATTTGAACAAAGTGTTTATTTCTCTTTATTTTATTGCATTGTTATTCTTATATTATGAGGACAAAATCGGCAATGCTGTCTATGTATTTGGTTACTGTGATTTTTGTCAAGAACAACTGCCAATCATTATGTGGAAGTCTGCCAGGTGTTTTAGAAGGGAGATTTCTCAATGAATTTGACTTTTCCTGAAACCTCCTCTTGTTTCAAGATGTGCAAACTGGAAGCTTTCGATCATATTTGCCAACACATACTTTATTTTATGCCAAGGAAGTGTTTTTGCTTTTTGTTTTAAAAGACCAGAGGAAATAAGGGATATGGGGGGAAAGTATTCAGCGTTTTTGGTGTTTCACAAAGGATAGATGTAGCTTTACAGTGCACTGATCTGAAAAGAGCAAATAATGCTTGGAGAGGGAAAATATCGCATTTACTCAAAGTATTACTGAGAGGAAGGTCACTGGGATATTCATCAGTGCCAAACCTGAACAGTCACAGAAGAGCCACAGTATCAAGATCAGCAGTTTTCAATCATCGAAACAACCGGAGGTGTTCATAGCATTCAGTAAGATTACATTCAACTTTGTGTCCTGTAACCCTGGCAGTCTCTAATGTAGTCTTGTTCACTTGTGTTACACAAAAAGGTCAATGTCTTTTTTTCTCTCTTCTCAGTGTTAAATACATGTTTTTAAACATTGAAATAATGAAATGCAATATTAGAGAGGAGCAAAGACGACTACAGAGAAATGGACAGTATTAAAGGAATCCCCTCTGCCACGTTACTACAGTACATGCTGTTAATGTTTTGGAGTTGGGTTTAGTCTATCAGGTGTATGGAGAAAACTCTTGTGTTCTCTTCCGCCTGCCTACTACATGTGTAATAATGTAAATTACAGCCATTGTTACAGGTTTCTAATGTATTTTTCTAACTTCATTTTCTATGTACAAGTCTTTTTTTTTGTGATGAAACCCACTACACTTTTTTTTTTTCTCCTCCGTGTTCTCTCCTCCTCTGGCCTCCCTCTCAGCCCACTCTTTACTCAAATCTGTCTCTCATTGGGAGCATTGCCTTTTCCTACAGTTATTTTGTTTTCTTGCCGATTCTTTAGCTTGTTTAACTCGTTAGTGACTTAGTTCCTCTTGTCATAGGTATTTTTACATGCTTGCATTTAGTTTTTATGGTGTATGCTGTTATTTTTTTTCTTATTAAACTCCTTGGCATTTATTTTAATAAACATTCTTAGTAAGAATTTTACTAACTTTGCTGATATTATTTTGTGTTGTGTTATTTTTTTTAACCAGTTTAATGAATTACTACCATGGTCTGGTTCATGGACTAACACGATTAAATCTGGTGTGTGAACACCCTCACAGTTTTACACACACACATTCAAACAGATGCATTTTTCCGAGGTCCATACACATTTACAGTTCTCACACACACACACACTTCCACGCAGTCTAACAGGTAAATGTGCACGAGGCAGTCCGTCCTTCACTCCGCTCCTGCACTTTCATCTTTGTCGCTGTAGAAATCTTCCCAAGCGTGTGCCGCCATGCTTTGTCTGCCTCACTGTTCACGCAGTTTATTGGTGCTACTGGTATTTCCTTTTTGTTTTGTTTGGAAAAACCGCTGCTTTCTTTAGAACTGGATGTAATTGGGAGTTAGATCTCTGTAGTCAAAACACAACTTTTTCTGTTACAAAACCCGATGATAATTGGAAATATTTAGTCCAATTTGGGATTGTTTTGTCTTTGAATAGGCTCTAAACAGTGCTCTTTCTTTTTAAAGTCCTGGTGAGCCTCAGGAATCGATGCGTTTACTGCCACCTTTGATGGTATTTTGTTTTAGCCTGACTCATCAGTGCAAATGAATGTCCATCCTGCCCAAACTTCTCTAGAGCATCTGATCTCAGCTCTGCTCCGTCATTCAGCCATCAGACTTCATATGTAAGGGGTCATGTGGAGTTTTTTTTAAGGTCGTTTGACCTGCGGAGGCAGCGGTGAGATGAGGTGTCTGCAAGGGCTGCTGGCTGTTTGCTTTCAGAGCATTTAAGTGAACGAAAGTACTAACAAACTAGTCTGCCCTTGTAGGAACTGCTTGAGTGTTGTTGCCTTGGAGCCTAAAGGCAGTGTCCTCACTGTATGAAATATTTAGGATAAGTCAAATTTGTTTTTCTTTTTATTTATTCAATATTTTCTGTGGGGAAATGTTTTGTAAACAACCCAAGCACAATGTGTATTAATGATTTTTTTTTAGTCCTAATCCTTTAGTCCTAATCCTATTTTTCACTAATTTGAAATGCATTGCAACTGCACAAATAAAAAGTGTTTTGTTTGTTTTTTTTGACCACCTTTATCCCACTGAGTGAAGCTTCAGAATGGAAAACATGCATTGATTATATGTTGACTGCCTGAAGTTGTATTCATCTTCATTTTGAAGAGCAATGAACAAAGCCTTAATATTATATTAATAAAGGGAAGGTTTCACAAGCAAAAATGTCCTCAGGGAATGTTTCCTCACAGGTCACAATCACCAGCATTCAAGTCATTAAATAATTATTTTGATCATTCATTGATTGTTTGTGGTTTCTAAAAGCATTTGGTCCAGTAGTTTCTGTGTGGAGTGCTGAAGCATGTTTCTCAAATAAAAAGCTTAAGAGCAAGAGTGTTTCCTTTTGCTTTTAAAGAGACCTTGTTGCGAATATGCCCCACAAAACAGGTTTGTGCAAAGATTTCAAGTTTATATATAAATATTTAATATCTATAAATATATTTTATATAGATATATATATGTATATATTAATATGCTTTATATACTAATTTATATATATTGTATATCAATAATACATTCATTTGAAATAAGTCTTCATATAGTTTTTGTGTATGGAAATGAAAAAGCTGTGCAAAGAGAACCTGTTAATCATGGCAAAAATAAATGATTTAAAAGGAGCTTTGTAATGTGTGCAATAAAGGGCAGTGCTTTCAGTATGCTGCTGTTTGATTGCTGCAAGATGAGATTGTTTTTAGACCATTTTTCACTGAGGACATCAGATCAAACTCTGCGGTTTGAGTCTGTGGCCTTGTGTTCAGGTAAGTTACATTCAATTAAAGAAATGGCAGCGAGTCTAAATGTCACAGGTTTGACTTCGATGGAGAATCAAGTCTGTGTTTACTGCTGTAAAATGAAGCAGATTCTGTGAAGTCTGACCTGTAGGCCTGAAACTGATGAATGGTGTTATTTATGAACTCAATGCGTTTATTGAGACCAATGAGACTCTGAAATGCAATCTAAAGATTATCTATTATATAGCTATACGTGGATATGCTGATAAAATGTCAGATGTTTTTGCACAGTTTGGTTTTATCTACTTCATGTAATACATCTCCCTAGAGAATTTAATAGCAGTAACAGAATTACCACCGATCTGTCCTACTGTAACAGCACATAAATAAATTAAAAAGGGAGTCTATGGATCAAGTTTAGAGTGGATTTTAAACTATCTTTCTTACTCAAAGTATAGTACATCTCTCAATCCATCGCCTCATGGCTAGACTCGGCTCCGGCACCCCTAGTGTCTCTTGCTCTCACCAAGAATTTTGTATGAAGGCGGAAGTCAGTTTTGGACAGCAGAAGTCGAGAGATCAAAAGAGTGTTTGTAACTGGAGCAGCTGGCAGCTTTAGCAAAGCAAGAAAGAGAGGAAGAGAGGAGGGGTGTCGCAAGTAACAAATGATCCCAGTTCCTGCAGAATAAATCAGGAGCATTCATCAGGACACAGCTGTGTGTGTGTGTGTGTCAGGCCTGAATCGTGTGTGTGTGTGTGTATTTGTGTGAACGAGAGAGAGATGCTCTGTTCTATGTGTTTTTGGCATCTTGTGGAGGTTGATGAATAGTGTCTTGTGCTTCAGGTCTCAATGACCAGCTGGTGTGTAAGAACTTTTCTACCGTTCCAAATCTTGTCTATTGAGAGAAAGGACATACTATTGCGTTTGCTGTTATTTGCATTCTCATTAATGCAAAGTCTGTCAGAATCACTCTTTGTCAAAATATCAAAAATATACCACATTATTACACAGATTCCAAATTGGAATAAACTTGGAATTTCAAATTGGTCGGTCTGTGTGATGTTGCATCAGTGCTTTGACGGTGTTGTTAATGTTAATTTAAATTAAAAATAACAATAATAATAAGTAAAAATGAATTTATTTAAATCTACAATAAAATAAATTTGCTCCATGCCCTGATTTTACTTCATGCTGCTTTAATAACCAATACTGGGGTAAAATAACTGAATTTACACATGGAATTTATTCATTTGATTCATCAGAGGACTTTATATTATCCATAAGCCTGTGTACACACAGAACTGGTAATACTAGTCAAACAATATATTGAAATATAATAATAACATTTCACTGATGGATTAGAGTCAGTGGATGTGGAGTGTGATCATTGATGTAGTCATTTAGTTTTTGAAGGAGTACGACTGAATGATTGACACTAGAACTGGACTGTTTCAAAGTACAAAGACACATTTTCTCACACAGGAAGTGAATTACAAACGTC